CTGCGTTACACGTGGCTTTGGAGGGCTGTGTCACACGCGGCTGGGCCCGAGCCCTGAGGAGTGCTTCTGCCCCCAGCTCCTTTGAGGCCTGCATTGCTGGTGGCCAGTGCTGCCATCATTCCATTTGGTGGCCACCCGGTCGTGTAGAACTGTCTTGGTAGAGTTCACAGGCTCTAGAGCTTTCCAGAAGCCAACTGCCATGTGTCTTCCTGTGGACTGTCTAATGGGTGGGAACAGCTAGCCTTTTGGTTCGTGACAGAATGCTTTAAGCGCTGTGCTATCAGGATGCCTAAATGCTTCTAAAGAGATTTTGAACATCCCGATTCCTTGACCTGGATATATTTTCCTCTGCGGCTTTTTATTTTGTGGGATGCACCTAGGAAAAATGGAAGTCTTGGTACTTGGTAGGGTTTTTAAGTGGGAGATGATAGTTCTGTGAAATTGTTTCTGGAATTGCTAGCACCCTTTATTGCTTTGGGAAGCTCAACGTCTCTCTCTCTCTGTGAGTCTCTCGCCCCTTCCTGGCCCTTCTTTTCCCTCTTTTTACAAAGAGATTGTCTTTTTCTTTTGTGGTTTTCCCCTTTGGGAATAGGAGTGCAGACTCTGGCTGCTTCACACTGAACAGGGGCGTTGAGATGAAGGGGAGCCCACTTTGACACTTCACTGCTGGTCCTGAGTTAAAGCTGCGTGCCTTCTTATTCAGTTAGAAGATGTTTTCACAAGGTGTTCTGCCCTCTGGACTACAAGGTGTTTGCGTGGGTGCACCGCCCTCCTTTTGACACCTTCTGCTCTGTTTGTTCAGGTCTGCCTTGTGTCAGAGACCATCTGCTTACTTCATTCTTTTTCTCAAACTATATCATTGCAGTGGAACAATAGTAACTATTTCTGCGATGATATTTTAGGAAAACTTTTAAACGTTCATTTGTTATTGTATTCAAGATGAAACGAGAGTGACAGGGAGCAAAAATAACTAAATAGGTTGAGTGAAAGAAAGGGAGGTCTGTGCGTTCAGATATGAGTGAGACCCTGAAACGCTGAGCGTTAGCTAGCGTGTGGGCATCTGCCACCTGGCGGACTTCTCGGTGGTGGTGACAAGCCTGCTTCCTGGAGGATGGACCCGTAAAATGTCAGCATCTGTGAACCAGTCAGCCTCCCTCCTGAGTGGAGAGAGAAGCATGGCTGTTGTGGTTGTGGTTGTGTGCCCCTGAGTCAGCTACCACTCAAAACAGCCCTATCAACAAGTGGATGCCCTCGGGCCGGGGACAAGCGGAGCAGACCACTCGTCGTTCAGAATGCACTTTGTGTTGATTCTGCGCCTTTCTGTGTGTCCCCCGTCTGCCCTCAGCTGTGCCCAGCTCTCTGGGTGTTGTTCCCTGGTTTCTGGTGGCAGTGGGAGAGGCGTTGAGGGTTGAGGGCAGGCAGCTGGACATTTGCTTGCATGTGGCCTGCAGCGCGGCTGTTAGGCACCGAGGCCCTGCAAGCCTCCACTCACCGGACTGGCCACAGGCAAAGCCCCAGCTGTTAGGGCGCATTGCTGTGAGCTCCCCGAGGGCCTTGCGAGCCGCGGGTTTGCGCCCTGCAGGTGCTGCTGAAGGCGTTCATCGCGAACCTGAAGTCCAGCTCCCCGACCATCCGGCGGACGGCGGCCAGCTCCGCGGTGAGCGTGTGCCAGCACTCGCGGAGGACGCAGCACTTCTACAGCTGGCTACTGAGTGTGCTCCTAGGTACGTGCGGCTGGGCCCCTCGAGGCTGGCCGGGACAGTCCCCGCTCGACTCCCCGGGCGCTGCTGTCCGACTCCCCGGGCGCTGCTGCCCGACTCCCCGGGCGCTGCTGCCCGACTCCCCGGGCGCCGGGGCACCTGGCCGGGACAGTCCCTGCTCGACTCCCCGGGCGCCGGGGCATCTGGCCAGGCGTGCT